GATTGTGTCGTCCTGACAGCAGCAGGATAAAGCCTCGGCTCTGCCCACAAACACAACCACCTCCTCCATGTGTGAGCTTAACAAGGCTGCTGGCGTTTGTGGAGTCGGCAGCACGGCTCCGGCTCTGCATTCAAACTGAGTCACGGGGAGGTCACATGTTTGTTTCATGGCTTCTCTCAGATAAATTGATACACGAGGGCTGCTGTCTGCTCGCCATCCCGTGTTATCTTTATTTAATACCCTGTACTCTCCTTATTTACGCTGTTCTCTTTGAAACAGTACAAGCTCTGAAGGAATTAGCGGTCGGACCTGAAGGGGCTTGTGGGTAATGGGGGCTGATCTGTCATCTGTGTGATTATATTTATGTGCGATGATGCATTATTCAGCTGAGGCGCTGCTGTTACAAAACCAATAAAGAGAATGTTAAAGGAGGAAGAGGGAAGCTCCGGGATTCACTCTGAACCTCTGCAGAACAAAACCAGACCTGGAGAGGTTCGTCCTCCGTCTACTGGTGGACGTTAACGAGCTACTCTTAGTCAATTAAACGCTGTTAATAACTGAACCGACTGGACATACACTAATCAATAAAGAAGAAGGTCCTGCGTGTTAGGACGTGTGTTGTGGGCTAGCTGTAGTACCTGGTTGTTCCACCAGGTGGAGCCTCTCACTGATGGGTTACAGGTGTGTTTGCTGACTGCCTGTACATAAAACAAACGCACCTCACTGCTGTCTAAATGCGTTCATATCCAAGTTTTTGACTCTTGTGAATATCTCAGCGGTTTCCATGTTCATGTGTTAATATTTAATTATATTAAGATAATATTTACGTTTGACATTTTCGTGCGTTATCTTTCAGGTTCTAAACATTTTGTGTCGTGATGTTAATCCGGCACATCGTCACTTATAAACAGTGACGTTCCTTATCTTTTTTTTAGTAAATCTTTAATGACACACGTGGACTAAAGTGGTTCTGATGAAACAAGTTCAGTTTGGGTTTGTTCTGTTTGGTTGTTATAATCAGGAACCACGACAGCGTTCTGACCCGTCCATCCACCTGGACCTCCACCCCGCTGATCACTGTAACGGCATCAGCTGAACGCTAACAGATGCTGTTTAAGTCGTCGTTCTTAGACGGAGGAACATCTTGAAAAGCTTGTTGTCAACATTTTATCCTGCCAAGAAACTGCCCCGATGACCCGACACTAAATGTAAAACCTTCTTCTATGTCGGATATCAAGGCTGTGGGATTGTCCAGACGGAGGTCCAGATACGAGGAGGGCTTGATGCTGGAAGGATCATTAGTTGTTCATTATTGTTCATAGTTGTTATAATAACTAGTGTGTTGTTAGAACACTAAACCTGACTGGGCGGTGCTGTGGTGACATCACAGGTCAGTGGATCTGCTGATTGGTCAGTCAGATAAAACGCCGTCATCCTGATTGGTGACATTAATGTCATGGAGTCAGAATCCAAGGCTGTCGCTATGTTCAGGCTGTTTTTACGGGTTCTGCTGGTTTCTCCTAAGAACCTGTCGGATAGCAGGTTTAGGATTGTTACGGGTCGATTATCGACTGTTAAAGAGAATTCTATTGAAAAAAAACCTTTCAAAGATTTAAACTGACTTCATAAATGGAAGCGTGACTGAAACCTGGAGGCTTCAGGAGCCCAAACATCTGAGCGTTCACCACCGTATAGAACTGGTGTCTTCAGGACAACTTATTAAAAACAACATTAAACACAAAGAAGCATATTTGTTTTACACAAACACAATCCTGAATATTTATTACCAAGAAAACAGAACGCATAAAAGCTGCTCTACGTGGAACACTCAGAGCTGCTGACACCTGAACAGAACATAAATGATGTATGTGGGAGTCAGACTGAGACCAGCAGCTCCAGGTTCTGGTGAAAAGAACTTATTCAGTATTTTGTGACTCCAAAATTTAAATTAAATTCATTCAGGGAGGCTTTTTCATGGACAGCATGAATGCTGGAGGCTGACCACTTTTGGATTTTCTGGCCTTGCCCTGAATTTTTCCATATGGGCCACAGATTGCTGAAGAAATAATAATGAACGTTTTTGGAGCTGAAGTCGAGCAAAGTCCCAGAAAGACTCTTCACAGCCAAGAACTCCGACAAGCGAAGAATAGCCTGCAGTTATCAATGAAATAATGCAGAGTCTGACCTTTACCTCAACACCGCAGCGAAATAAATGTTTAAAACAAGGCAGAGCAACATGAACTGGGGACTGCATGGACACGAAACATGTACCTGTGAGATGTGCTGGTTCCACACGGAGCTAACGGATTAATCTGATTTCAATTGTTAGACCTGATCTGATTCATCGAGCTTAAAGTCCTGATCCGGTTGGGTTTAGCTGACGTCAGTGGTGTGATGTCGGCTCCTGCATCCAAACCACGTCCATCTTTTGAGGAGCTCTGAACTGCCTCAAGCCTCATTTTCACCCTCAGCTTGGTGTCTGTAACTCTGTATAACATCTGGACTGAACAACCAGAACATAAGGACGTGGTTTTCTTCACGAGTTCTATCAGGTTTTTACCACCGAGTTGTAAGAACAAGGAGCTTTAATGCAATAATCAATGGTGAGAAACAAGCGAGGACGTTGTCATGCAGCCGGTTTGTAAAATATTTTCCTGAAAGACGTGTGAACCACCTGAGATTATGAAGGTTCCCCCTGAGGAAAGAACGGGTTTCTGGAGATAACGTGGAAACCAGTCACTGAACATCCATCCATCATCTCCACACCTTAATCCTCACTAGGGTCATGGGGGGCGGAGCCTATCCCAGCTGACTCAGGGTGAAGGCAGGTTCACCTGGACAGGTAACCAGTCTATCACAGGGCTACACTTAGAGACAGACAACCAAGCACACTCACATTCACACCTACGGACAATTTACAATCACCAATTAACCTCAGCATGTTTCTGGACTGTGGGAGGAAGCCGGAGAACCCGGAGAGAACCCACGCTGCACGGGGAGAACATGGAGACTCCACGCAGGAAGATCCCGGGTGTCCTCACCGGGACAAACGATCAGACAGATTACGGTTATTGATAAATCCTGCCGATGTAATAACTCGTTTGCATCCACAGCTGCTAGTCTGAGTATCGTCCATGTTCGTCCCTTTTTTCTGCCTGAACATATCAATTAAAAAGTTCCAACCCAAAGATAGAAACTAAATTATAGTAAAACGACAGCAGGCAGAACAAACGCAGCTCTGATTGGACGGCCTGCGCACCACGTCTTCTTCAGAGGTTCATTCAGCTGAACTTGTTGCACTTAGTACCAGATCTACAGCCTGAGTTCAGCTTCAGACTCCCAGAACAAAAGCCTGCAGCAGCAGCAGCACTGACACCACATGAAGCTGAACCAGTCTGAGCTGATGAGACTCTGACGGTAAGACGTTCCTGCTGCACACAGCAGAGTCTTCATTTCCTCTCTTAAAAGTTCTACTTAGCTGTAAACGAGATAAAGACGAAGCGGTTCAGTGAAACATCTCTTCATGCGGTCACATTACGTGTCGAGGCGTTGTATAATTCATGCTTTAAATCTCTTACATAATGGATAGCGATTCACGGCGGCCTTTCACCTGCAGCCTTACACCTCGTCTCTGCACATAATGGATGGGTTTCCACTTCCCCAGGATGCAGGCTGGATGACGCTAATGTGTGTGAAGGTGAAGAAGAGCGAGGCTCTCCAATCCGTTCGGTTCAGACCTCCTGGGCTCCGTCTGGATATGAACCGTCTGCAGCCGCCGCCGCCGCCGCGTATTTTTAGTTTCTGATGAATTTCATGATACGATTAACAACCTGCAAAGTTCTCAGTCTGGTCAGGAAGAGCGTCTTAACGCAGAAACTTACGGGCAGAACCTTTGAGAACATCTGAAACGACTGACGCTGCACTGGACCGTCCTCTGGGGAACAAAGTGGAAAACAGTCCAGAACCAGAACCTTCCTACAGCTCACAGAAACTAAACACACATCAGTTCTGTCTGCCGGGTTTCATACGCGTCCAGGTGTTTAAATACGTCCAGACACAGGAGGAACCACGGCTGGAAGATGAAGCTGGAGTCAGACCTTTCACTGTCTAGAGCTTGTCTTCAGGCTTTATAAGACGTGAAGTATTCAGGACTGAACACGTCTGAGTTCTGCTGGAAACCACAACCAGATCCATTATAATCCGTCCAGATGTCACAAACCAAAGCTTTTATCTGCTTTTTGATTTTTTTTTCTAGAACCAACTCTGAGCATCGATGTTCTTGATTCAGTCTTAAAAACGTCAGAAAGAAAAAATCTGTTTCTCAAAGATGTGAAATGTCTCGTTTTGTTAAACTTTTACCGTCACAGAGGAGAAGAAAACAGATAATATTCACATCTACGACGTCCCAGTGTTAGAATTTATAATAAAAGATATGAAATATTTCCCAGGAGGCCAAAGTCATGTCAGAACTTCCTTTTGTTCAAACCAAACAGGCCAAAGTGAAGAACAAGGCCGTCGACAAACCTGAAAATTCACAAACGTAGAAACCTGAAAAGATCCGTCGAAGGTTTTTGGTTTAAATGTTCACGTTGAAGCAGCTGCAAAAACGTAATATAAACATAAAACACTGCATTCGAAAGACTAGAAGTTTATGAGTTTCACGGAAATATTTATGCCGCTAACGAATAAGTACGACTCTTCCTTCATCGTTAGCGACTCACCTGTCATCACCGTTAGAAGACGTGTTCAACATGTCTGCACAAACTGAGGCGTGTTTGAAAGAACAAACTAAACCGATTACATTCAAGTTCAAACACAACGAAGAAGATCCAGAAAACAGTTTAGTTCCATCGCAGCTACGCTAACGCAGACGTCACAGATTTTATTTACTTCAAAAACAACTCAAACTGACAAACCAACAATCAGCTAATTACTAAATGATTAATTGGTCAGTAACGAGGTGCCGACGTGCAGCAGCTCAGCCAGGAACCTGAACTCACCTGCAGGTTGGCGCAGGTGGAGAACATGCAGGCGCTGCTGTCCAGCGGCTTGACGGCGTTTCCATGGAGAGAGGGGGCGGGCTTGGAGATGATTGGCGGCTGGGCGGGAGGCAGGAAGGTGGACGACGGCTCGGTGACCAGCAGGGTTCCTCCTTCTGAGCCGTAACCGAACGACTGGATGGCGTTCTCTGAGCAGAGAGCAGAACCAAACGTTAGCATCAGCCGGACCTACAGACACACAGTCAGGCAGCCCACAGCAGAACCA